AACATTGCAAGTTCAGATACTAAAAATTAATGAGCAAAAAAGATTTTGAAAAATCAAATAATTAAAATATGTATGCCAAATCGCTGCCCCCATTTTGAGTCATGAAAGGACAAACGTGACTTTAAAAGTAAGTAACGTGGTCGATTTCAATGGCAAAACACAAGTTTGCCTCATCGGCGTGGGTCAACTTTAAGGTCATGTCTGCTCCATGACCCAGTGGCACCATGGTGACATGTCAAAACTATACTCTGGATTGGATTATTGTAGAATGTTGGTGAGCCCAAGCAAAATAGAAACTGAAGGCAATCTCGGATGAGAATACCCTTCGTAGGAAAAGCGGAGAAAAATTCCATTATAATTACAAATATAGATTAGCTACGGCAACAATCCCACCACATAAAATTAAAAGATGTGATGTGGAAGAGACAAAACTTGCTTTAAAATTCCATTTTCATGTGACTAATTGGTACTCATGGCGGTGGCCTATCGGTTAATTGTTTAAATTATACACTATGCATTAGTCGTATTCGATTCCTGTTGGGTGTGCTGACGATACCCAAGTGAGGTCGAAACTGCAGTCTGCCTTAAACAAGAATACCCTTTGGAAAACAAGGCTAAATAAAATTCAATAGTAACATACGGCTTCTTAAAATCTAATGGAAAAATTCACAATACATTCTTATGCATACAAAGCAACCTATGATAAGACATTAATTCTAGATTTCCACATAGTTTCGAAATCCTGTGCAAAACGGATAAAGCCTAATACGATTCAATTATAAATAAAGGGCCAAACCTAGATATCCAAAAAAGTAAGTATCTGTATACAGTTCGTGCAGCAAGTGAATAAAATATGGATGGCCTGTATTGGTACTAGCCTGGCCAAAATCAAACGCCTCGTTAAACTAAGTAATTGAGAAGCTCACCTGATATACTCTGGGTTAAATCTAAAGAGTCTGCAAAATGCCATGAAAAATCTCATAGCCCAAAGGAAGTAGGTTTCATCGTTTGTCTGAGCTGCCTGACGAACGAGGACAGAATGCACACTATGCATGAGAGGGTTGTAACAATGCTGCAAAAAGCGCCAACAGAATTGCTAAAGAACAAGATAACATACATAATAAAAGAGATCGGAGATAAAAATTAATTCCTACCAGTGGTAAATTCAAATCACCTGAAGAAAAAGCTGGACAGTTACGAGAGAATTATGGTAAACTTCAGTATCTATCAGAGGTTTTCGATTTCGTGGCCTTCTAAATTGGCGTTTATTAATATTTAGATCCACTATATCAGTGGCGTTATAGCTAGAAATATCCGAGCCAGGTGAAGCGACTTTTGACATTAAATTCTTTGTAACGTCATGATGATAAATAAGCGGCCGTTCAGATATCGATTTTGTGTTAGTTAATTCATAGGTTCCACCAAAGCGGTTAAAACTATAAATGCATAATTGATCATTTGTGAGCATACCGAGTATTGAGCTCGAACAACACAACTCTATTCTTTTCATGTTCACGCCGGCGCCAGCGATCTATAACCCTGAGGAAAAAATAAATATAAAAAATAGTAAGAATATCCAAAGATAAATAAATTAGTGGGTGGAAGAATCTTAATAAATAAACCCAGCAAAACTTAATAAATGCAAACGGATTTCAAACACGTGCTGTACTATTAGTATTTTTACAAATTATACCTACAGTGATTCGTCACAAAGTGATCGAGTTTGAACGTTAGAAGAATTACGAAAAGCAAATGTCTCGGGTTTCTAAAATTTTGAAAATTGGACTAGGTAAACAAACACAAGACATACCTGTTCCCTAAACATAAGCGAAATTATCTCTAAAATATGGAATGCAAAGCCCTTTTCATCTTCAGAATTCGCTATAAAAAGCAACAGCTCATTCCATCCCGAATGATGAAGCGCAATCAAAATTCGATCGTGTACTGAGCCAGTATCGGACATCTAAGTTAAACCAGATATAAAATATAAAAAAGTACTTGAGTCCCCTTCGGCACCGACACATGCAGAACATTTCGAATAATAATAAGGATCCGCTC